TCACTCGCCTTTGTTTTGAGCTGAGTAATATGGCTTAATTACAACTTCTTGTAGACTACGAGCAACAGAAGTATATTCTTCTCTAACCTTCTAGACTCCATGGGTGTATTTTTCAATGTACGAACGGGAAGTCATCAAATGTTGGTATAAGCATTCACCTTTTCATCTATACGTGGGAAATAAAAATACATCCGAAATGACTATTATAGATTCCTTGCTAATCCCTCATACTTGCTTGGCCAAATCTAACCCACATAAATATGTTTAAAATTCCTATTTATTGTACGACGTTTCAGTCCCAATGGTGACCTCCTCCAAGTTCAATGACACCATTTGGCAATATACAAGGTGCTCCACGGGAAGCGTGAAATTTTGACAACGTTGTGATTCCGTAACTATGCATAGTTGGCTATGAATTATTTTTGAGGCTATCTATTCACTCTATGCCATTCAGTAATCATGGAGCAGTGGTCTGGTGAGCAACGCGTACTTGTCATTAAGTCGTACTATGTATAAAAGCAATAACTGAGTGATTGCCGCTCAGCGACATTTCCGACTTTATTTCCAAATTGGAGTTCCTTCAGCTCATGCTATAAAGGAATGGGTTCGTAAATTTTAACAAACAGGTTCGGAAGTCAATGTCAAACATAAAGGACCAAAGAAAAGTGTACGAACGCCTGAAAACATCGATCGTGTAAGAATATCTGTAGAGCACACTCCAAAACGTTCAGCCCGAAAACGAGCCTACGCGTTAAGAATTTTTAAGACATATTTAATTCGTATTTTGCAGAAAGATCTCAATCTTCATCCATACAAAATTCAAATTAATGTGCAATATAAGAAACCAGTTTTTGAGTCAGCGCTTGAGCAGATTTCCACATAATAATCAAACATGGTTCCAGCAAGATGGTGTTACTCCACACACTACGAGAGCATCATTAAGTTCCTTGCAGAAATTGTTTCAGCAACATGTTTTTCCAGACGACGTCATCTACTGGCCACCAAGGTACTTTTTTTTACTAAAGCAAAAGGTGTTCATTAATAAACCAAGAACCATTCAGGAGCTTGAAAGGAACATTACTGAAGAAATTGCTAAGATTCCTGTGGATATGGGGAACACATTTAGCGGTATTACTTTTAAGAAATAAAAATGGCATATTACTAGTTTGTTAATGTTATACTGTATTTTATTTAAATTAAATTTCCTTTAGAATCATAAAGTATTTAAGACTTCCCACTCCCGGGGACATTAAAAAACGAAAGATAACCTCGCTTGTCGCTTTGGGAACGCCAACCCTCAGCATATTGCAGGACCTTTCAGACTATCAAAAAGTGTCAATTGAATTTTAAAAAGATCATCGTTAGGACCAAAAGGTCGTTCAATAAAGAGACATTTTATACTAGCATAGGGGATTATGAACATGAAAACCACAGGACAAGTTTCAATGTTATATCAGATTTCTTGCTGTCCGTAATAATCTGCGTCAGATCTTTTCCCTGTTGCTCGTTATCTGCTGGGGACCAGCTAAAGTACAGCCAGTAACTTTGGATGGCGATTAGAATGTAACATGGTGGCAAAAGAAGAGAGAAAACCGTCCCTTTTATTGGCAACTTCTGCCATTCTCGTAATAAAATGCGCTTAGAGCTGTGAGGATAATTCGCAATTTGCGAAACGGCACAGCTGAAGGAAAGGGAATTGCAAGGGCATTCACGAGCGCTAAGGTCGTTATTGGTAAATAGACTTGAAATTATGGGAGAAGATACGTGATGCTGCCAATACAAATGGTATGTTATCTGCCAAGGGACGAGGATATATCAATTTCGTACGAACATTTTATAACACCGTTTCAATCTGATTTAAATACGGAATCGATAGAAAACAGGTTTTTTCCCCCCCACATATCTTGAAGAGAAAAAGAGTTCTCGTATGGACTTTATTCAAACCGGGAGCTCTATTGTCAAATCGCACAATAGTGTGTCGTATTCATTATTTATATAACGGCGTTGCGTCGTACAGTTAAGTCTCATATTTATACAGTCTTTACCCTAAGCATAGGCAGTGTACATAGCAACACTGACTCTTGGTACTGCCAAGCGCGAAGTACCAAGAAGACGTTGTCATTTATGCCACCTTATGCATCAGTTGTGTGCTACTACTACCGCATGGGTTTATGCAAACTTTACTAATAGTTCATTTTAAGATCTGTGAAGCTGTGTGACACCTTATCCTCACCCGTTCAATTACGTTCTATGACTAATTTTTGATCCATTTCTCGCTGTCTCTCTTAGTGCCGTTTCTTAAAGTACCAAAAATAAAAACACAATATGGTTTGGGGTGAGGGAAGGGTTGAATGTCATTTCAGAAAAAAGCATACAATAACTTCTGTTCAGTTTGTGGCCGCTAGATGGCGCTTTCTGGATGTGTCAACGTTTCTCTTTTTTTTTATTTTTGCGCTTTGGCGGGCTTGCTGGGTCGGTGTTCAGATGGCATGCCTATAAATTATAGATAGAACTAGGTTATTGAGTGCCAGTTTATCGTGTTTGGAGAAAGAAGCCATTTGTGCTTGGTTAATCTACGCAAGAATGAAATTACGTATAAGGGCAAGGGCATACTGGCTTGATTCATATTTTAAGAAATAGACCTTTTACAAGATTCCTTATACACTGTCCCAGCCTTCAAAAATGTTTACCGATTTTTTGAGCTACTTCAAAATGATTTAAGTTTTTGTTTATATTGTAATCAATAATTGTAAATGAAACGTTTAGAAGAAATCTGCCGAATATTTTTTTCGGTATATCGGACTTGCAACAAATTATGACAGTTTTTCCTGTCTTATTTGAACGTAACTTGGAATGCATGTCCTGAATAGCAGGCCACTTTTCAATTTCATTAATAAAATATCTGTGTTCATTTATTCGGTTTTGATTTCAATCGGGCTTTCTCGCATGGACTCTTTGTTTTAGAGGGTTCCAAGTATCGGTTCCACAATCGAGAGACTGTCCTTTTTCGTCATTGTTTGTTGTAGAATTTCCTTTGATTGTAATGTTTACTCGTGACTAAATAAATATTTTGAATTTGAATATCATATGGAGAATTCAGAATTCAATTTTTTGGAAGACACGTCCGGTATGTCGACAACGAAAGACGAGCCCTAACTGAACAGGCAATGGGAATGACTAGTATCTCTACGCTCATTGACGCTGACCGATGCGCGATTTGTGATACTCTGCGTCTGGTGGCATCGAACGCTGGTACATTTTCCGACATGCGCTTTCATTAACGATTCTGTGTATTCTCAAAATAAGCGTCAAGCGAAAGCACGTCGAACGCGCATCATCTCAACTTAGCTTTAGCAGTCAAGTGACGTAACCAACGCCAGCCTTCGCTCGTGTACATTTTTGATTAATGCGGCCATTGCTACGTATGTCCTTGAAGATACCACAGCATTTTTATTACGTTCCACCTGTATCTACCCTTAAATATGTCAAGTATGCACATAATGTTTTCACCATACACTTCACTGATTTGGTGATGAATGTCAACTGATTTGAAGCCTTGAGCACAGAGAAACCGTATTAGAGCACGCACTTCGCAGTGGGCGGGATTCTCAATCGGTGGAGGCATTTTAAAATCACGCAAACGGATGTAGACACGATCGGATGTTTCCGTAGTGGCGTCTGTGCTTAGACGAGGAAAGAGAGTGGACTCGTAACGCGCATTCACAGACCGGCGCAGTAAGTGTGCCCAATTATTGAAGAGACGCCATTATTTGGGTCCTATTCTTGAAACCGACTCCAAGCCTTTTTTTCTGTGTTTCTGTGCTATTGTGTATTAAAGACTGCGACTTTTTTATTCAGTAAGAATGGTGTTGTGCTCGGCTTTTGATTGCAAAAATCGCAGTGAGAATAAAGTGCCAGGAATAACCTTTCACAGGTAAATTTTTTAGTTGTATTGATAACGTAAATACCTTAATTACTTTATAACTCCATTTTAAACGACTGCAACAATATTATTTCAGTGATATAAGTACTACTTCACTTGAATGCATAATTTAAATTAGTTATAGCCATGTGTTTCATTCAGGATTTGTTTGAATTTATCAATCTTATATCACTATTACGATTGAATGGCGGTCATTTGCCAGTGGCGGGTGTGATATTTTTTATTTATTATGTTTTCAAATATGTTCAATATCAAGTTAGTTTAGTATTGTTGTCATTGTATTTCAGGTTTCGTCTTAAAGATCCAACAAGAAATGGTATCTGGCTGAAGAATATGCATCTAGCTGACTGGTTTCCCACAAAAAATAGTAGGATCTGTTCAAAGCATTTTGAAATCCATGCTTTTTACAAAGTTGGAAACAGAACCTCTCTTTTGGATGATGCAGTCCCTACAATCTTTGAAGAACTTCCAAAACACCTACAGACTAAGGTAATTTAACACTTAACCCAACATATTAAGAAATTTACAAAACAAATTATTCATTTACTCAGTTTACAGAGAAATTCTACCAATAATTACTATAATCTGAAATAAAAATGAAAATACTAATTAAGTTGAGGACTTATTAATGTAATTGAGATATATTTGATTGCAGGTAACAAAGAGACCACATCCAAGATCTAGACAGCTTATTACACCTACAGCTTCGACATCTAGGAAAAATGATCCTCCCCAAGAAGATCCAGACACCCCCAGAAAGAAGCATCCTAGAAGACAGCTTTTTGCAGAAAGGGTAAAGAGCCAAGAGAAATCGAGAGAAATAAAAGTTTTGAATCAGCGGGTGAGAAGACTTAAAAGACATATTGTTTCTCTCAAACAAGTAGTGAAAGCCTTAAAACAAAATAATTTGGTATCTTGTGAAAGCTCAGTTCTGCTTGAAAACATGTCAGAAATTACGAAAGAATTGCAAAAGCGTAAGTTTGGGAAAAAAGCATCAGTATTCTCCAGAACTGTGGAAGTTTGCAATTACTTTGTGTTTTTTCTCCCCAAGAGGATATGATTATGTACGAAATGCTTTTGAAACCTGTTTACCCCATAGAAGCACTATAGGAAAAATGGTTTAAGACCATTAATGCTGAACCAGTTTCTCTAGTGAGGCAATTAATGTTTTGAAGAAAAATGTAGAATATTCGGATAAGCCTGTACTATTAAGCCTCATTATAGATAAGATGTCCATTCGGAAGCATCTTGATTTAGAAGATGATTCTAACTTTATGGCCAAAGAGGTATTTGTTATGATAATTGTTAACATTAATGGAACTTCGAAGCTGCCAGTTGGCTATTTCCTTGTAGATAATTTGAATGGAAATCAAAAAAGTGTACTTGTTTCACAGTGCATACAATTAGTTTCTGCTACAGGAGCACGAGTTGTATCGCTTACATTTGATGGTGCTCCTTCAAATATTGCAGTGGCAAATACTTTGGGAACCAATAATTCTTATGACTCATTAAAAACACATTTTTCTTTAGATGGTAACAACATTTATGTTTTTTATGATCCAAGTCATATGATAAAATTAATAAGAAATGCTTTTGGGGAAAGAAAACTACTAATAGATGACAATGGGAATTTCATTAAGTGGGAATTTAGTACCATAATATTATAACGCTATGTCATACTCAATAAATGTTTCTGTGTAAACTACATGTTTATTTTTAATAAAAAAAATGGGAATATACCTACTCTGCGTGAGATTTGACACTTTCATAAATGAAATAATTTATTTTTTAGTTATATTGCTCAATATTTATTGGGTGTTTAGTATTTTTTTGGAATACTTAGTCTGTTGTTATGCTTTCACATAAATTAACTAGAAAATGTATTATACAATAAAATATAGATCATTCGATTTGTTCTATTTCATTTTTATAATAAAATAATTATTAATGAAAAAACTTGTTGAATCTGTGGTATTAGAAATTACCGATAAAAATATACTTTGTAAATAATAATATAATAAATTTACTTTTTTCTACGAAGAAAGTATCATTTTTCTTCCGTTTTTTTTTAGATATTTCAAATTGAAACTATAAAATAGACAAATACTAAGCGTCACTCAAGTGCAAAATTTATTTCTGTAAGATGGTACTGAACCCTGGCGATACGCCCCTGGATTGACAGCCTGGAGTCTGACTGGGCACACTTTTAAAGCGGACATGGCGTGTCCTTTCTCTTTCCTCGTCTAAGCGTCTGTGGCTTCCCAACAGATGTAGCTACACGACGCGCATGCGCTAAACGGCGACTGCAGCGCTGCGGCGGCGTAATTTAAAAACGGTACTTACTTCAAAAACACGCCTCGTAAATGAAGCATTCTCATGCTTATTATTCTGCTTGCAGCACAGTTTGATCGAACACACGAATAACACTCGCTGATCGAATTTCCTGCACCTCAGTCGAGTCTATCTCACGCGAATGCAACATCGAGACAGGAAGCGTCAGTTAAAAGCGACAGAACATTAGAGGTGGCTGTCAGCGCAGTCGATGCCAAAGAAGGCCATTAGGCGCTTTCCGAATGCTGAAGAGCTCTCGAAAGGGCAGGCGCCTCTCTGTGCTGCTACGTGAGACGTGTGTCAGTTAAATATTACACAACGTTCCACACATCTGTGCTTTAGTTTACACCCTTGTCTGGTGCTGCTTCATCGACTGTTTCAATTTAAGTGCGGTTTTTATAGGAGGCGTTCGCGAAAAGGCCGCGGTTAGAATTTATGGCTGGAAGGGAAGCTCCATGTTTTTCGGTTATCATAACAATCTGGATGTTTATCTTCGAGATATCGCTCGAAATTCGTGTAGACTTTATCGCTTTCTTACAAGGTATGTGAGACAGAAAATTGTCCAAATGAGACAAATTTAGACATTTTGGTTGAAGGAATCTCGTTTGGATTCTCAAATTAGGTTACATGCAGTACGTTGATTTGTAAGCCATGAGTCCATCATAAGTGACCATTGGTACAAAATGTATGCTGCTCTGTTTTGTCTAACTCATCTACTTTTTGGTATTTTGGTATGATAAGGGTGGGGGGCTGGTTAGTGGCCGGTTGGTAAGCACGTCGACCTTCCAATGGGTCGACCCGAGGCTCGTGGGTTTGAATCATCGCCTTGTTAATTCCGAGTCATGGATGTTGTAGTGTGTGTTGTATATAGCACGCGTCAGATGGGTGCAAGGTCAATATAGGTACTCGTACATTGCATCGCTGGAGCTGATATTTCAATCTGTGTCGTTCAATTCAATTTTTTGAAGAATCTCAGCGTTGCTGTAGGCTGTCGATTTCTTGTAAGTTATTTGTTATAAAAATTATACGATTTGTGTAAGACTAATTCATATACTAAATCAAAAAAATCGTCGCCTGGTTAAGCTGCGAAAACCCATTTTTTCATTTGATCCCGGGGGAAAGGTTTGCTACTAAGTCGCAAATGCGACCAATCCAAAAGAACGACTCGTGCCTTGCTCGAACCGTGGATAAATCTGATATAATCCCCAGATTGATATGGCAGCAATTACTGTAGACATTGGACATTCTCTAATTCGCCATTCAATTAAGTGTTACCCTCGCACATTATGCAATATATGTCATTTGTCTCAAAATTATTCGAAAACAAACTGTCAAACGAAGTTGTATAAAGAAGTATCGGATGTCAGTGAATTAGGTGATGAGATATTTCTTCCACTCCTCATAGCAGTGCTGGAGCTCCGATATTGGAATAGCCTTCTGTTGGCCGGTTACAGCCATTCGAATGTATCCGACTGTCTCTTTTTTTTTGTTTTTATATATTGAAACTGCCGCGCAGGCAAAAGCCTAAATGCCGGTACACCGCGGCTGCTATGATGATCCCAAAGAAATTTTGTTAATACGATTTTTGAACTGCCTAAGGTTAGTAGAACTGGGAAAAGCTTCCTCCCGTAGATTGTTCTACAATCTAGACACCCTCGGGACAAAGGAGCGGTCGTATCGGCCAGTTCTGGATGTACGAAGCTTGACACGGTTAGGATGGGACGCCGAAGTCAGGCGGGTCTGTCTGGCAGGCACATCTCGCGGCGGCATCATGGAAGAGAGCTCTGAGGAGCGAAGCCCGTTGGTGTAGCGATAGAAAAGAGCTAGATCGCCGACGACCCGCCGGTGCGAAAGAGTCCCGAGACTGTCTGTTAGAGAAGAGTCATCGATCAGTCGGAGCGCCCTCCTCTGGACAGCATCGAACATGGACAATGTAGTCGGGGCGGCAGCACCACTAATGTGTGAGCAATACTCGAGGCTAGGCCTTATCTGGGCCTTGTACAGAGTGAGAAGGTCATGCGGAGAAAAGTACTTCTTAGCCCTAAACAAATAGCCTAGCTTTTTCCCAGCAGCTGCAGCTATTGAAGAGATGTGTTCGTGCCAGATCAGGTCCTCGGTGATCTGGACTCCGACCAGCCGAAATGAATGGCCCTTTGGTAGAACTCGACCGTCCATCGAAACTGTATGAGCGCTAGGACGCTTTTTGTTCGTCAAAGTACAGTACTGTGTTTTGGAAGCATTGAACTGTACAAGATTGTTGCGTCCCCAAGCAGTGATAGCTTCCAGGTCTCTTGTCAGAGAAGAAGTCGTCACTCGTCGCTAGTCACTCTGAATTCCTGCATGTAGAGTGCTGTCATCAGCGAAGCTGTGGATTGGGTTGATCGTGCAGAAAAGGAGGTCATTGATATGTAAGAGAAACAGTGTTGGAGCCAAGACCGATCCCTGGGGAACACCCGCGTTGACGTTGTGGGATGAAGAGGAGAATCCGTCAATTACGACGGATATCTTGCGGCCAGAGATAAAGTCAGCCACCCATCTGCAAAGCTTTTCTGGGAGGCTGTAGGATGGAAGTTTGCTTAAGAGGGCACCGTGCCACAGCTGATCGAACGCTTTCGTGATGTCAAGAGCAACGACATGAGCCTCACCATGAGACTGGATGAGTTTACTCCACAGTTGCGTGACGTAAGCTAAGATGTCCGCTGTGGATCGTTGGTTCCGGAAACCGTACTGCCTGTCGCTAATCAAGCTGTGACGTTCGAGGTAGTCCAGAAGCTCGCGATTTATGCACCTCTCCATCACTTTACTTATAACAGAAAGCAGAGCTATAGGCCTGTAGTTGTAAGGGTCGGTCCTAGATCCTTTTTTTGGGATGGGCTGTACATGAGCAAATTTCCAGTTTTCTGGGAAGGTGGCAGATTCATAAGATATCTGGAAGAGACGCGAAAGAACTGGAGCAAGCTCCGCTGCACAACTCTTCAGTACAATGGCAGGAATCAAGTCCGGACCAGAAGCTTTGTTGATGTCGAGCGACAAGAGCACTCGTCTTACGGTCTTATGCCTGAATGTTACATCCCGCATAGTGGGGGGAACCCTTTGAATTGACGACACTTGGGCGTTGGTGGGGTCATCCATGGTGGAGTTGGCAGCAAAGATCTTGGCTAGCACTTCCGCCTTGGCCTTTCAGTCGAATACAATAGTTCCATCCTGACACGTAAGTGGTGGAAGGCAACTGTGTGAGAAGTTCTTTTCAATCTGCTTGGCCAGCGTCCAGAAAGACCGACTGCTATTGCGCTGCGACATTACCCTGTGCCTAACTTTTGTATCATGCTTGTTTTTGGCATTGCGAACCACTTAGTTATATTTGTTTCTGGACTCGACGTCGGCTTGTCTGTTCTCTACAGTGAGGTTTTGTAAGTAGGTTCTGTGGACCTTGATCTTCTGCTGGCGAGCAGTGTCACACGATTTGTTGAACCAGCCGTTGGACCCTGGTTTAGGAACGTTCACTGTGTGAGGGATATATTCCTCCATTCCGACCGGGATAATTTCGGTTATTGAAAAACAGACAGTCGACGCATCCAGCAGGCTACTGGCGTGTGACGAGACGCGGGGGAAAAAGGTAGGGCTCGTCACCAGCTGGGTCAGCCCTTGAGTAAGAGCGAACGCTTCGACTGCACGACCTGCTGCATCGGTCTTATTTGAGCTCAACCAAAGCTCATTATGGGCATTGAAATCACCGAGAAGAACTACCTCTGAAGCGGGGTGATTGATGTTCAGGAAGTCGATCTGGACGGCGAGGTATTCGAGTAGGTCATCCCAGTTATGGTTCGAAGGAGAGCGATAAAGGCAGCAAATAAATTTGGGTGATGTTTTGGAGTTGAGGCGAAGCCACAGAATGTCCTTCCGGTCTGATTCCAAAGAAAGATCCCTGGAGCAGGAAAGACTGCTGCGGACAAAAGCCACAACTCCCCCGTTCCTCCCGCAGATGTTCGAAAAACAAATTTTATCTTCGATGTTGTTCCCTCGAGCCCACCCTCCACCCGGACATTCCGAGAGTGGAGTGAGTTTACGTCCGGAGTTCTTAGTGCTCGAGGGATCCATCATCATTAATTTCTTTGTTTTGGTAGATAACCGACTGCATAGCTTGGGTGTGGAAACATGGGGACATTTATAAGAAAACCTAGCGGGTGGTACTGCCTCGGTCGACTGGTCCTTATCTACCACCTTCTTTTTACGTGTTAGTGATGTTAAATAGACCTAAAGTGGCCCATTGGCGGACTTGGGTATTCCATAACGCGTGCACAATCACTTGGACGGGAAGAAGTTGTATACTGGATACAACAACTTCCGGAACAAGCATTTGCCACGGCCCTCGCTCAGTAGGACTTGATGTGATTTTTGAA